TGAGGCTGACCAATCTGTAGTTCCCTGGATCCTCTTTCTTCCCTTCCTTAAAGACAGGCACTATATTTGCCCTTTTCCAATCATCTGGGACCTTCCCCAGTCACCACGAGTTTTTAAAGATAAGGCCAACAACTCTATCACAGCAGCCAAGTCCCTCAGCACCCTCAGATGCACTGCTTCCAGTACTATGGACTTGTACATGTCCAGCTTCTCTAAATTACTGTATTTTCATCTTACGAACTATTTTAACCTCACCTGTAAACAAACTAAAACCATTTATTTGAAGAACAGCTAGAATTCACATTTAATTTACTTCTCAGGATTGCGAGCAGCGACTGCCCACAGGCGCCACTGGCAGCTGTGGCAGCGGCCAATCACAGGGGGTGCACCACCAATCTATCTCATGGGTGCATGTGCACCCCCTACACCTTGCCAATGCCCACCCGCAGGTGGCTACATATTGCACCAGGTGGGAGGAGCAAGGGAAGCAGTGCAGCACCTGGCAGACTGCCACTGCACTGGGAAAAGCGCTGCTAGAAGCTGCGTGTGCTGGTCAGAAGCATAGCACAGGCTGCCCCAGTGAGAACCAGTAGGTCTCAGCCCCATGCAGATTGCTGAGGTGGCAGCCACAGGCCAGTTCCAGTCAGTTGACAGGCCTGCAGGCCACATTTTGCCCACCCATGGATTATGGTCTTTTCAGTAAGTGGCTCAATGACAGAAGAAACAATGACAAAATTGTATAAAAAGTTTATCCAAATGTTTAAAAAAACTGGATCATATAGAAGAGAAAATATTTAAATTGCTACAGTAGCATTACAAACAATTTAAATGATACTGTTCCCTAAATAAAAGCAAATAAATGTACAGTACTTACTCATCAAGCTCAACTTGTTTAATAGCATAGGTTTTCTCATCGTATTTGTGTTTTGCTTTGAAAACATTCGCAAATCCACCAGAACCAATAAACTCTATACCTTCAAAATCCTTGAGAAATCTTAGGGGAGAAAATATAAAGCATTCTTAGTACAATTACGTAACATTATATTTCAAAGGTATGTATCTGACCACCTGACCCTGCAAGGCCTGGAGCGACCCCTGAATAATGTTAGGCGTCATTTACAGGAACAAGTCTTCACAGGGTCAAGCAAAGTCTCAAGGAGAGCCAAAATTTAAGCAAGTGAGTTATTTTTATATTTAGAAAACTCTTCATTCAAGAGACAAAATCAGAACAGCGCATTTTGCTAAGAATTACTGATATAAACAAAATAAGCTAAACTAAGGTAAGCTAAGCTAAGATACAGCCTTAACCCCAAATGTTAGTTTGCACACATTCTTTAATACAATTCTTTCTATCCCACCTTTTTTAAAAACATGCCAACCTGTTAGTGTACTGCATCACTGCAATCACTCATTAAATCTTATATAAAAGTTTTTTCTCACCTTCCATTCATTGTGTACTTATTTTCCTTGATCTCCAGATATGAGAATTTAGCTGCCAGTGTCACTCCTCCTCTTAGACTTAAAAGAAAATTTAAAATGAAATCTTGTGTGCGTGGAATTCTATTTTATATATATGATTTTGACAAGTGAAAAAGCAACTAAACAGGGTTTGCAATATAATGTTAGAACATGTAATAGCTAGACACAAAATAAGTATGTACCTCTTAGGTTTCACAACAGCATTCCTGGAAATTGCCTAAACCAAAAGAGAGAGAAAAAAAGGACTAAAATGTATTTATTTATTACTTTTACATGTCATTATGTTTCATTACTTATAGCTTAGGATGTGGCTGACAGTTATCCATAGATATGGTCATGCTGAGTGGCTAGTAATTTCTTTGTATTATACCTCAATATAAATTTCATATGAAAGCCAGGTAGAGCATTATCATTCTTTTCAAATAATTTAATTTGCATGTAAAATACAAACACAGCTCCATTAGCATCCATCGATCTGTCACTGTTAATGCCACCCACAAAAATCAGCCTGTAGTATGTAAATAGTAATAATGGAAAAAATTATGGTGAAAACATAAACATTTTATCACAAGCATAGCAGGGCAACTATGTGCCTGGGGCAACCATGACGCACAGGGCAGTGCTGACTGCTGCCATGCCAATTATGGCAGCATAGCCTGCTACTACATGGCAGTAGCTGCTTTTGCATCCCCTGACAAAACTGTTACCCAGAGTTGCTAACCCCAATTGCCCCTCATTAGTTATGTTGCTTCATTTTATAAAAATGATATACATGCTGTCATGCTAACCTTCATGGGTAAAAGGAGGAAATTGATATGATTTCCTAAAACTCATTTGGCTCTAGCTTTAAGAGGCTACTGAAAGAAACAGTTAACTCTTGTGGGGAAATGTGAAGCACAAAGGAGTTTCAGAAAATTGGGCTCCACATTGTTTTTAGCTTTAAGCCTCTGGCATATCACAATATAAAACTGAAGCCTAGAGCTATTCCCCAAAACAAAATAAACCTTGACATACTGCCCTGGAACCCCAGGCCAGCAAACCAGATATACTTTTTGAACTTCCAAAATTTAGGTCACAGGAGATGACAGCATATCCTATTTAACCTATGTACAACTTTAATATTTTGGGGATAGCCACATGCATCTGAGAATGTTAATTATCTCTCATATTCACTAACAGAAAATATTAGCAATAGAAAAAATAATGATAGCCTGAAACATAATTATGGAAAGAAAACTACCCCACTGTACCTGACAAGATAAAGAATTGTCATTTGTTTTTCCTGTGTCAACTGAGTTCAGAGAGTGAGCATCACTAGAGAAGGAAAAATGAATTTCAGAATCTGCTTAAAACAATTCATAAATCAAAACTACAACTCTTGATATAATATAAGAAAGGATAATGTGAACAAATTTAAACTACAAAACTTCAGTCATACCATGGTTGTAGTGATTTAATTAAAGTTTATAACAATAACACATTATTTATCTCTATAATGGATTTCATCCAAAGATGTCAATGTGATTTACCCACTTTAATTCAGTTAGGTATTCATCTTTAATTAAAGTTAGGTACAGGGAAAAATTTCAGTGAAGTGAAGCCAGCTCTCATAGAACACACCAGCTCTTTCACAATGCACAATACAACTGGGAAAATGTGAGTATGGCAATTTTTCACACTAACTACTGACCTAAGTACCAGCATATTAGGTCTATGTCAAGGGTCTCTGTCCCAGGAAAGGAAAATTTCTCACAACTGACTTTCTGTTAAATTTTCCCTTCATTCTCCATGAATAGGTCATTCCTGCTCATTCATGGTAAGTGAAAAATAGTACTGCAGAAATTATAAGTCTGGTATAAGAAATTATCAGAAAGAATTAACGTTTTCTTGTAAAGAGAGTCATAAGAGGAAAATGGCTCCTAGAAAAATCTAATGAAGTGACATTTTTTCTTTCACACACTAACAGAAATGCTTCTAATGGAATAGAATCAGGAAAAAATGCAAAATCTTTATATCACATAAGCTACTTGCAGACATTAAGGAAAAAAATAAAAAATGGTGCTTTACTTTCAAATCTGTTCCTGCACTGAGCCCAGCACATGCCCAGAAGAGGTACTGCATTAGTTGGACCTGGTTCACCAAATGTCTGTATAGACCAGGCACTTTAGTGGGGTTTTTTGGTGCTTTTATGTAATAAAAAGCCCCACTAAAGCACCTGATCTATAAAATAAGGTGCCTGATCTATACAGACACTGCAGAGCTGGATCAAACTAACATGCTGCTTCTTCCAGGAAAGCACAGGTTTTTTTGCTTTATTTTGTAATGTATACTGAAAAAGTTAAATGTACTTGCATTATTGAACTTTATTCTTGGTTTGTAGAGAAAGAAACAGAAACGTCAAATAAAATTAATGTAAAAATGTGATTACAAATTAATTTTAAAATGCATTTATTTTATTTGAAGACAGGGTTAGAGATTGCCTAAAACTCTCTCAGGTACTCTGTCTGTAACAAACAAATACACTTTGGTAGGCATCACAGTATTAACAGGTTCAACTTACTTTGATACTGGCTGAAGTGATACCTCACTGGTATCACTAAATTCATCAGCTGTGGAACTGGCAATAGATGGTTGGTCCTCTGTCTGTAAAATAAACAAATTACCTAACTATAAGAGCCGCCTTTCTAAAATGGGAAAAAAATGCTTAACATAGTACAAGAGGCGAAATCCTCACTCTACTGAAGTTAGAGTTTTTCCACTGACTTCCATGTAATCAGGAATTTTATTCCTGGTTTTAAACTTGCCTCCTTTTCCACATCTGCAATTAAATATGAGCATAAAAAAGTATGTAAAATGTCCTTTGACCTGATCATGTCCACAAACCAAATAGATATCTAGAGTACATGTTCTCATTCACAGGAGTTAAAAAGAAGGGAAGTGACAAGAGTAAAACCCCTTTAAAAATCAGAACATAATAAAGATAATAGTTAATTAAAGGGCAAAGCTTTCACAGTTGTCAACTTCACCTCATCATGTATATGAAAAATGAGATGCATGTGCACAAACTTGTACATATATAAATATATTAACAGAAAATCTAATTTTTCAGTGTGCACACACATGCAATAACTGTGTGAGCACAGTAAAGAGCAACCAAAATTTGTGTTGCAAATTTAGTCATATGAAAACCTGTCTCTAAGAAATTTCTTGTCTTTTCCTGTCATTTTTTCATGTAATAAGCGATGATAAAGTTCATGATTAAAGGCAGAAAACTACCAGGGTGATATCAATTTTAAGAAACCAAAGAATGAGGAAACTCAAAATTAAAATTCCAACAGCCACTTAAAAGGAATCTTTATTCAAAGCGTCCAGAATTTCATGCAATCTGTAGTAGCATGACACACTCATTAAACTTAATGTATTTTATTGTTTTATGTTTTAAAAATTCTGCAGTGATGCATTATAGTTACCTTTTTCCCTTGAGATTCAAAAATAAAGTTGGGTCTCGCTACCTTTTGTTAAGTTATATTTTAGTTACAACTCATTTGTCACACAGGCAAGCCTGGGTCTGAGTACACTCTGAATTAAAAAATATGTTAAGATAACTGGATAATTCTTTCTATTTAGATGATAACCTGTGTCCAAGGCTGAAGGTCAGAAAGTGCTATTAATAAACACATGCAGTTGGACAGCTAACTTTAAAAACACTGGTCTATTAAATATAGGAATATAATATGAATTTTACTTATACCACATCGTACCATCATCAATAGAAATCTTTGAGGCAAGGGTTTCTCTTCCCTCAAAATGAAACCTAATATATGTTTTTTAATCAGATGATTATGAAGGTAGATTTAAAGATGGAGGAAGCAGAAATAAAACTTCCCTGTTCAGATGACATGAAATACATACCCTTGAATTTTCTGAATCCATTAACTGGTAATATGCTTCTTTTGCTGCAGCATACTTTGCCTCCTGTTTACTATTTCCAGTTCCTTTTCCATAAATCTTCCCACTAATTTTGCAGGAACAAGTAAACCTGTAGAAAATGTTTAGTGGGAAATAAATGAATATCCATAAATCCTGCATGGCAAGGACTAATTTTAAATGCCACTTACATGAGGATGAGGTTTTAGAAGAATCATTTTTTTAACATTCTTTTCTATATTTCTGCTTGCAGGTATAAGTAATAATTCTGTCAACTGAGGGGGCTCCCAGCCACAAGAGTTCTCTTCTTGCTGGTGCAGGGGGAACCCAGGATCAGGCTCCCCCTGCACCAGCAAT